CCCCCCCCCAACAAAAAAAAAAAAAATTCAAAAAATATATATAGCGGGGGGTGCGCAGCGAGAGCGCACACCACGTGGGTTAAACGCCAAAAATGGCGCCTTCTGCCCCACCCCGGACCCCCCCCGGGACCACACCCACCACAGGTGGGATCGGGGTAGCTGCGGGTGTGGGGCCGGGGGCGGGGCCAACAACCGGCGGGGGCGGGGTTGAGTGCTGGCGAGGGCGGGGGTGCGGAGCGCCGGGGCCGTTTTCCGGCTTTTATAACCTTTTCTATGATGTGAGGGACGCCGGACCCATTTTCCGGCTTTTATAATTCAAAAGCGGCTGTCGTATGAACCAGGCCGGACTGCCTGGATCATATGACACTCTGGCCGCCCCTTGTAAAAAAAAAAAAAAAATTGTTGAGATCATTTTCCTGCATAACATTGATTCTTTTTCTTTTTTTTTTATGTTTTCAATTCTTTTGCTCTTCTTTTTTTTGTTGCAGGGACCTTCCCTAACCCTCACCTGGCCGGGCCGCCAACCAAGGTGACCACGGCGGCCCGGTTGGTAGCCCAGATTTTTTTTTTTATGTGAATAAAAGAGCGGTTTACAACTTTACATTGGGTGTCGCACCTACCTGTTGCAGGGTGGATCATACTCGCGGCGGCGCCGAATGCCAGTTGCGGCTGCGTCCCGATGGGCAAAGCGCCTCCCACTGGAATGTAGGACCATTCCTGCTTGAATAAAAAAAGAGAAGAGATGAAATTTCATGAAAATCCTATAACCGAAAAAAATAAAAATAAAAAATCCTAGGGGGGGGGAAACCTAGAATGATAGAAGTAAATTTTCAATAAAATTGAACAAATCATACAATACCTTTCTTCGTCCACGCACAAATACCATGACCTAGACAGACACCCACCCACCCAGACAGACAGAGGCAGCCCCTGAGAGAGAGAACAAAAAAAAAAAAAACAGAACAGTCTCTACAGCAAATAGAACTTCCGTGAAAATCCTGAAACTGAAACTAGAGTGCTAGAAGCTAGGCTATATATATACAGGGTAACCGGCGTTTGGGACGGGCCGAATGCCCGAACCCGAACGTACGGGACCCCTTGGGGATGCGTTCGGCCGTTTGGGCCAAACGCAGACCCCCCCCCCCAAAAAAAAAAAAAAAAAAAA